CTTTACCGGTTCCCATCTGTTTAATGTACAGCTTAACGGATGTTGACGACAAATCGTGCCGAAGATTACTGTCTTCTTTTTGAAGCCGAGCGAGTTTTAGAAGGTCGATTTCCTGGAAACTTTTCAAGGCAGTTATTCGAGTCAAGGCGTTTGCGACTACATTGTTTGCTCCAGAAATGTGTCGAATATCTGAAGTAAACTGCGAAGCGTAGTCCAGTTGTCGAGACTCACGAGGTGAGTAATTGTCTGAAGATGAGCTTGAGGAGAAAGTAAGTGGTTTATTGTCAGTAAAAAGGGTGAATTAACGGCCTTTGGTATAGTGTCGAGAATGCCGGACAGCACAATACATAGCTAGGAGTACCCTACCGAATGTGCTGTACCTCAATTCAGTGACTAGCAACCGTCTAGGGGAAAATGCCAAAAGTTGCCAGGAGTGGTTAACCCATCATTGTAAGACTCCTCCGACTGAGGAGTCGGATGCGTCTACTGAGATACTGATGGGTGCTTCAGCGTCCTGATGAGCAAGCATTGTTGCTTAAGCGATAAGTTCACCAACTGCGGACAATGCATTTCGCGCCGTGTCGTCCAGATTGATGGATTTCGCATTCCCACGAAGTAAGTCTGTTAGCGGTTTCGTAAGTAACGCGTATTTCATTGTGAACCGTCTATGGAAACTTACCAGGCCGTTAGACGTGCGTAATTGCTTGATGGTGGTCGATTCTGGGTAATCTGGAATGGCCGCCACTTTGCTTCTAAGGGGTTACATGCCTTGAGCATCGATGGTGTGTCCTAGGAAGTCTAATGAGTCAGTTCCGATGTTTGTGTAGTCGATTGAAAACAAGGTCCAGATGCTGGAGATGCGATTCTCTGTTCGGACTTGCTTTTAAGCAGTCATCAACATACGCATGTACGAAGTTGAGACTTCAAAAAACGTCGTTTATGGACCTTTGGAAAGTTTGGACAACGTTTCTTATTCCGAAAGGCATGCGCGAAAATTCGTAGTCCAATAGGAGTTATGATAGCGGTCTTCAGAATGTCGTCAGTAGCCATAGGGATTTAATTATACTGTTTAATCAAGTCGATTGTCGAAAAGACAATTCTACCCATCAAGGTGACTGTGAAGTCGTGTATGTCAGGCAACGATCTGGAATGATTTTTGCATTGAGCCGCCGATAGTCACCAGTTGGACGCCAATCGTTGCTGTCCTTTTTAGGGACCATATATAACGGAGATGCCCACAGGCTGCTTGATGGTCGTATGATTCTCAAGTCTATCGTGTGGTCGAATTCTTCTTTCGCCAACCTTAGCTTCTCGGAGGCTAGTTGACGTGCTTTAGATAATACAGGTGGTCCTGTAGTCGTGATGTAATGTGTAAGGTTGCTGGTTGCACACCACAATTTCGGTTGCGATTGGTAAATGCCAGAATACCTATCGATTAGTGGTTGGTAGAAGGGGTCTATAGTCTGCTTAGTTGTAGCTGGAGATGACCTGCAACCAGAAAAAGAAGTCAGGCAAACAGATAAATTAGTATTTCCATCTACTAGCCTCCGTTTGCGCGTATCGATAATTAAGTTGTGGTATTGTAGAAGGTCCATACCAATGATTGGAATAGAAACATCCGCAACAACAAAGATCCAGTGAATGGGTTTGCGTAAACCCACGTTGAGATAAACATACTTTTTGCCATACGTAGCGATATGCTTTCCGTCTGCCACTTGTAGATTTAAACCCGACTCGTGAAGCTGGCCGTTGGAATTCGCTGAGAGGGCGCTGACTTCTGCGCCAGTATCAACAAGGTAGCGAACTCTCGTTATCACATCAGTGACATATAATAGACGCTATGTTCGGCGGCTACGGTTGCCGTTATCGCATGCCGGCTTGGAAGTTTCCCGAAACATTTTTCGTGTCGACCCATTTCGCGTTGGGAAAATTGCAGGGTTTTCTGCAATTTCTGAAGGTCTTCCCATACTGGTTATGATACCAGCACCAGTCCGGGAAAATATATATATACCCAAAAAAACGGGAAAAATATCACAATGTATAAAAAAAAGATTAAAGTAAGACAATGATATATAAAATCACAAAAAGGAACAGACTCACAGTTTGCAATTTGGTGTACCAAATCACGTCGGGCTCACCAATGAAGATGCCACAGATATTCGGTGTTTGACTACGCTTTAACCAGTAACACCTTCTAGTATGAATCGTACCCACCAAGTGAAATCAAAAGACAGAAGCGAGGAGATCGAAGATATATTTGATAGGCTATCGATATATCGAGGATCGTTTGCACTAATCTGGCTAGCGATTGCGGCTGACGTTGAGCACGGCGTTCCCACACGTGATCTAATGGGGTCGCACGACCGATCGCCTTCAGCTAGATGAGTCCATTAAAACTAATGTGGTCAGCATCCAATGTCGAAAACTTACAGAGCCATTTAATTTTGTGGAATTATTTACCGCTACACTACCTGTTGTATAGAGTTACAATGTTTAGGCTGCCGGTATTCTTTTAAAGATAGCTAATAGCAGAAATAAGTACTATTATAAAGCGGTTACTGTTCATTGTCTAAGTATTTGAAGTGCAACCTTGGTTGCACTGTCTGAGAAACGAAATAATACAAGCCATGTATGTAGAGACCCAGGCTTTCCTAAGCAACGCAAGAGTTAAAGCAAATAAGCGTGACTGACTATCCAAAGAAAATGTGCTAAATGCACTTTCGATCTGTAATTGAACACTGGTTTCTCTTTCTATAGTAGTTTTTGGTAAACATTTATACTGTATTAGTTTTTTCCTGTCTATCTTATTTCCAGCTGGCTTCGCAAGTGTTCACAGACGTAACTGGAATAATTCTTAAGAATTGGAAGTTATTTATTAATAGATTATTTGTGCTGGATTTAATCTTTAATAAACGTTTTCATTTATAACGCATCAGTCTTACTTACTGCGATGCTTATCTATCGTAAGAGGTGGAAATACGACCTAGTAGTATAGTACACCATGTTCAAGGTTGCAGTGTTTGGTAAACGGTCTGTATGACTAATCGCGTGTGCGCCAAGCTGGTAATTATTACACAAAAACGCGAAACGACAACCCTGTCTCACAGCCACATAAGACTGCACAGTACACTCTCCTTACCGTAACGCTATAAGAATGAGTTAATGGCCATATAAATGAATTTATATAAAACTAAAAAGATTGCAATATTAGAACTTCTTGTCATCAAGAAGCCTAGTTATGGTCAGTGTTAACAATGGATTCTAACGATGTAGCTTAATCATTAGCACCGATTGAAATCATCACTTGTGCGCATATGTCTTCCGATGCTTCGAGGCATGAACAGATGAGTTTACTTGCCAAGGGTTCACTAAGAGCATGGATCGAGTGGTAGTTGTTGGTGAACTTCTCTAGCAGATCACCACTTCTGGTAGAGATTGACATGTTATCCACCGGCTGCTATGTCGAAATAAGTCTACAATGCTTATAGAGACAAAGGAACACACACTTACCTCCACTTATTAGATCTTTAGAATGTGCATACAGAATATGACAACAGGGCAGCATATAGTCATTGAAACACTCACAAGCACATCGTGCACGTGAAGTATCAACAACATACATCATACCCTTGTCGTAGCACCGGATGTATTCCCCTGCTATACATTCGTGTCTCATTGTCCTAACACGTTTATAATTTACAGCTACAATTTTGGCTGCAAAAGATGTGAACTCATTTAAAAGAGTTCGAAACGATATTGGAACCTGGAATTAATGATACATTTAACTATATTTCTTACCTCAAGAATTGGAAAACGTTGAAGATTCTTTACAGCGTCATATGGACGCAAACGTAGGCCAGTGTCTGTTTTGCTCCAAATTTCCCAGAACGTCATAGCAGAGAATTACCGCTTCTGAGACATTCTTTTAGATGTTTATGAGCACTTTCGACACGGTTGTTTGTGTGGTTTCTTAGGCTTAATACAGGTCGCCGGTAACACCGAGCCCACAATGACTTACGGGAAATCCAGTAATCTTTGATGTAATCATACGCCCGTGGGAAATGGATCCTCAGATGTTCGTACTTTTGAGTAAATCTGAATATAATGCGTTACAAAAAACGAAGCTCACATGTCAGACCGTCTAGTCTTTACAAGGTGTTCCATGCATTTGCGTACATCAGGATTTCGGAAATACAGGAAATAATTTGTACAGCTAACACTTACCTTCCTGAAAAATGCTCGTAAGACATGGAATGAACAAAGTACTATGTTGGCATAACTGTGCATAGACTGCACTGCAGAAATTTCGGTCTCTGCCGAATCCATAACGAGAGCGCGTGTATCATAAGTACCGCACATTATATCTTTAAAGCATTCCAATAACTTTACGTTATCTTCGCGTCGTTCTTGCCTGCAAAGAGCATACATAACAGTGTGCCCTTGCCCAAGACTATCAGTCACCACTAGCTGGAACAATGGAAAACTTTAGTATAAATTAATTGCTATTCGTTACTTACCCAACTTTGTTGGTCTGATAAGTCGAGTCAATACATATTACCTCTGGGAACGCGTGGTAAACAGCTATTTGCTTCCTGCGACTGAAGCGAATCATAGCTATGATATCTAGATATGTTCCGATGTTCACTGAGTACTTTAACTTCAGTGTTTGATTGTGGTGGTGAGTTAGAAGTTGTATACTTTTCGGAAGAATGATGATCACTATCATTAACTACATCCTAAACGCAAGCATCTGACTCTAGAGTCAGCTGACGAACTGCGTTTATGTCCAAATGTACAGACATATCTCACGAAAAAAAACTCTAGAGTTGGGTCATCATTGTTTTTTTTACATACTGACATAACGTACTTAGTATGCGTATACTACAAAAATAATCATTAACCACAGAAACCATATTACCCTATGTACTTCTTTCAAACAGGTCTCAAGATTGTCCCAACTGGTAAATCTCCGAGATAACATAATATCATCGAAGATTCGTCCTATATCATGCATCATCACGATGGCATCATTTTCGATACTTGAAGGATGGACGTTATCAGACATGGTGTGGCTGAACTCAATTGCAAATCTAAAAAATTTGTTGAAAACGTGATAATTGAGCGGCTATAACAAATAAAACGGAGAGTATAAATTGTGAACGAATCAATCAGGTATAAGATAACAAATCTCTTATTTTAACGTGAAAGGCTTTCATCCATTTAGCTAAATAGATTTTCAGCACTTTGTGTACTCAACAACCGGAGTGCACACAAACAATATTGAAGCTATGTGGTCGAGGCTGAAAGAGTTTTTGCGACCTTATCATGACTTCAGAAGCCGACTATTCTGTAGCTATATAGATGGTTTCCTCTACTGCATGCATTACGATTTTAGAGCCTCTGAACCTTTTTCTAACCTTGACAAGTTTTTGAACCACGTATGAGAAATGTATCCACTTTATTTCCTTGGTTTTGTATAATATATTTTTACTCTGTACTGATTATTTTCTGATTGGCTAATATTTCTTAAGGTCACTTAAGATTCGTTCAAAGGTCGTCGATAAATTAGTCTTGCCACTGTGAGGCCTGTTAACTAGCGCGCGATCGGCAATCCGGCGTATATTTAGGCGAAAAGTAGACTATTCAGCAACATTTGAGAGACAGAGCGACAAAGAAGGAAAATCCGCATTATTTCCCTTAGACAGGAGAAAAAGCAGACATTTTGGTGCGTTTCCTCTTTATAATCCAACGCATTTTATCCTTTATTTCCCCTTTGTTGGTTGCTTGGAGAAGTCACGATGGATGGAATTAAAAGGAAAGTGGCATTAACTAAACTAGAAATCTGTTGATAGCACCCAAGCTCCCAACTTTGGGGAAATTTTGGGGAAAATCCCCAAATCATGTGTAGCTCATCATTCCAGAATAACATTTCATATGCATTCGATTATTAAACGTTAAAACATTAAATTACAATGAATATTTGTTAATTTTTATACAACGCATGCATGGCAGAGAAAATTTCAAATAGTCAGGTCTTGGAAATGGGTGCTACCAAGGCCTATGTAGATAGGTCGTTCTCCCTAGAAGCTTTATGTGCAATTGCTTGTAGTCTAAGAAATAAATTAAATAAACTGGGAGCGTTAGTGGACGAATGTAAGCCAATCGTCATAGTTGTTTTTAAGTCGTGACCTACTATTACCCCTAAGTCCTAATGTTCCTGTACGCATGTCAGAGATGTAACGTTGGTAGTATACTGGTGATTGTCACCGTGTCCTATGTTCATGAGCACACTCTAGACATAATTTCTAATCCCCAACATTGGGCCCATCTAACTGGTTCGTCTAGGTCAGCTTGAAGATCAAAATGATCAGCCTCACTACTTATTGTTCTTTAGATTTCGATAACATCCGCAAACAATAATGTCGACGACTTAAGCAATACGGTAATTCATTGACATAAAGAAGGAAAAGTAGGGGACTTAAGATCGTGTTTTGGGGTACACCACTTGACCAGCTTCCATTCAGTTAGCGTCCCCTAACCCCTCACTCTATCTGCGGCCACATAAGAAGTAACCTTTCCATTCTTACGCAGCATTTGTTATTCCGAATCCCGAAAGCTTCTGTATAAGACCTAGGTGTGAAACATTGTCAAACGCTTTGCTAAAGTCTATGAATTTCACATCGACAGACAAACCACCATCTAGGGCTGATGTACAATCCTCTCTCGCAATAAGTAAGTTGGTCAATTATGAACGCTTGTTTGGAAATACGTGTGGCTAGGAAGTTAACAGACTTAGTAACTTAACGACTATGCTGGTTAGACTGGCAGGTCGGTAGTTAGATACGATCTGTCTCTGACCATCTCTAAATACAGGACTGATTATAGCATCTTTCCAGTCTCTGTGGGGTTGAATTGCTTAAAGTCCTTTGTGCGCATCACTATCATATATAAAGATTTCGAAACGTTTCTGGAAAACAACTTACTAAACATGCTTTAAGCTTTCTTTCTTAGTATGCATTAGTGTCTACACTTGCGTAGTAATGGGATCTGTAACTAGTAATTAATGTTAATAAGCTTCATAAAAATTTATTTTATCGGTAATTTAACTACAATTAGGCTAAACCCATTTTCCCCTTACTAGCTTGCTTTTGAAGAAGTTATTGTGCTTTTTATAGATGTTTGTGCAATATATTCTCTTGTTTTCAGCTGAAATGAGTCACATTTGCTCTAAACCTATACTTATTGGACCATCAATTTTAAATGCGGATTTGTCCAAACTAGCTGTTGTTTGTGATCATCTGCTCAACTCTGGCGCTGATTATCTACACCTCGATGTTATGGATGGACATTTCGTACCCAATATTACAATTGGACATCCTGTTGTAGCGTCTTTGAAGAAACACCTTCCATCCAAGGCGTTTTTAGATATTCACATGATGGTTTCTAATCCCGAAAAGGTAGTTTACTGTGATATATTGCTATAGATTTTCTACAGAATAAATTATTATTCCAAGAACCTTAAAGAAACAAAACATATCTTGCGTAATTTGATTTTTTTACATTGTAACCTAAAACTAGCCTACAAACTACTAAAATCCAATTGATTTTAGATTATCGACTCCAGTATTTTGCTCGAAATCCTTTACGAAATTAATTTATCTAATTAAAAGTCTCACAGCAAACGTGCTACAATCAAGTAAACAGATTATATTCCAACGATCGAGATTTTTTTAATAGTTTCAGTCATTTCTTCCTTCGAAGAAGTAACTGCCAATCATATCAAAAATTGGCATTTGTTTGAATTAAGTCAGATTATTTTTCTTTTCAGCGATCTTGTAATTGATGTTAGTCTAAAGAGTGGACATCAGAAAAGTGGATATTATTTACTGACTAATAAAGTGGTGAGAAATAATTTTTCAGTGTCTCCAAGTATCCTGTTTTATTTCAGTTCACGATTTTGATTAGTCCGAAATGACCCAAGATTAACGAATTTCAGAAAATCACCAAGTTGTAGTAAATAACTGCTTCAGAGTTGATAGTTTCAACAAAACTCATCCGTACCAGTCTCAAAGTACACAATCTTATGCGGTTTAAGTTACTGGTATTGATTTTAAATCAATGTAATGTGGTTTAGGTGTAGATCCTATCTTAATATCTTCCTTATAAAGATATTTACTATTAATATAGGTTGTAGCATGAATAATAAACAGTTTGCGTGTAAGAAAATACAAACTTCTCAATTATTGTTACACAACTAAAAATTTTTATACAAAATTATCACCATTTTGCTTTGCTGAAGCACTGTTTTCGCCCAACAGACCATATGTTCGAGCAACACTTCACTTACTTTCAATTCCCATACTTGGTAATAGTATTATCAAACAATTGGTTAATGGTTAAAACATCAGGTTTTTCGGCACTATACCACACTGTCAACCATTTAGTCAACTGGATAGTACGACTAGTACTCACATAAACAATATGGTGCAGAGATAAGTGCATAAATGTGTTCATAGTAGACGAATTTAATTAGCAATAGTCTGTTCGACATAAGCAACATAAAAAACTGGCACAAATTTGTCTCAGTTCAACTTAAGGATATGGTTGCTTTTATAGACTTTTTACGACCTTTACATGAATTTATTCTATGCACTCACGTATTTATCCCTATCAAATATTTATTTGTGACGTTGAGGGTTTTATGCATGTGTGTGCTTAACCCACATGTATATCGGTTATCTTTACTCTAATTGGTTCTGTGGTTTTTACATTATCGCCTTATATACGGACTAAGTCATCCCTTATACATTGATTTTTAGCTAGAATACCGACTTTCATGTTCGCTGCTCTCTTAAAGTTCGTATGATCACGTGTATGTATGAAATATAAATATCGGAAAACATATTTAGTATTCTACTTTTTCTACGTTGTATTAATGCGGTCAGTCAATACAAGATATACGAAGTTAAGTAGAATCGCTACTTTATTAGCATCACCATCGTTAGAGCGACATGGAGTCAACACAAGATTAAATTATCTCGATGAACACCAAAGTAGAAGTAGCAATATTAGTGATAGAAAAAACGACCAGGAACAGTGAATATGGCTCGAGGAGAAAGAATGAATCTGTTCAAAGTATGCATAAAATATTTTTGAAACTCAATATCTAGAGATAAAAAAATTTAAAGCGTCCGGGCCACCAATTTTGAGTCGTCGCAGTGTATCTTTCCACTGGACATGATTATCACTTATCCAACCAGGCAGTTTGCATCTACTAATATGGGTCAGTTGATATCACCTCTAAGAAGATTGCCACAGTCTCACAAAACTTATTATCTAGCTTCACCTAAATTGTTCTGATTACAGTGTTGAGTTTTGTCATTGAATATATCCAATTCATATTTTTAATGCATCAGTTTCATACTCGTACTACTTTCCTACTGTACTTTAATATTTGAAAGTGGGTTGAAAATATGAAAGCTGCTGGGGCAAGCCAATACACTTTTCACTTAGAATCAACTGGAAATGCTATGCATTGTATTCACAAAATACGTGAAGCTGACATGAAAGTGAGTATCAATAAAAACTATTTATGTTAGCAATTTCATATTTTAATGTTAATGTCATCATTCCTATTTATGGCTTGTCGTCATGTACAAAAACTCACTGTGGTGGAAAAGTTAATCAAACGACTTCAATATGACTATATTTTTAAGTATCGAAGGGATCTAAAAACTAGTCATAAACAACAATTACTTTTAGATAGTCAAGTCCCTTTTTATGTTTTATTATCCATTAACACTTTCTTTTCATACTTTACTAGTATTAAGTGGTATATTGGAAATATTACACAGCACACTACATAGAATATTGTTTCTTTCGTTTTCTTATCAGGTCAATCTAAAATTATTTTTCACCTTGCAATTTTGCATTTTACACTATATTTTCAGTTCATTCGAAATGATTGTATGTTCTATTAAAATAATAAGTATCGAGACATCCAAATGTATTTAGGTTAGTAGGTTGTACTCTGTAGCATGTAATACCATTACACACGTGTCCATCTAGCTTTTGGATATACTTAAATCAATTTGATCATCCTAACAACCATTTTTTCATAGGGAATTGTGACCTCTAGTATATATACCTCTCATATTCATGTCATTACAATACTACACTTACATATCTCATACGTAGTTGTGTGTGCTTGAACACTCATTATTTTATCCGATATCTGTCTCGTAATATACATGATCTATTTTGAAGTATTCATGCGTACAATAAGTAACATTTTGAGTAGGTACATCTGCTTTTTCCGTTTCCCATCCTAGTCTGTCTGAGTAAACGAGTATCTGAAACAAATTCATCCAACTTAGTTCGTACTTAGCTTTTATTACCGCCGTTACCCAAACGAAATCAAATGACTAGTTTTTGTCCATGTTTCATTCATAGTTTCCCTCCATCATTTCTAATGAAATAAGTACGTTACCACAACTGCGGTGACATCTAATTGTAGGTCGGTCTTGGGAAATGTATTTTTAGTTTTTAAGCTAGCTAAATGACCTGAGCTCAAATCTCACTCAAAGAATTTCCGTATAAATTTTGTTGTTGAGACTGAACGCAGAAATATGATTCAAACATAGCTTCGAGCTAATCTTTCAAACACAGAATTCTCTCCATTTAATACAATCATGTGCAGTATACAGGATTTTTCTAGCTTGTCATTTCATTGCTTTTTGTTTTATATCACGAGATTTTTGTTATCTTCCAGGTTGGTCTTGGTATAAAACCAAAAACACCAGTCACCGAAGTATTGCCTTATGTTGACACCGTTGATATGGTCTTAATTATGACCGTCGAACCCGGTTTTGGTGGGCAAAAATTTATGGCAGATATGTTACCAAAGGTAAACCATTTTTGCTTATTATTTGCTTAAGTCATACTACTGTCAATACTATTGATATTAGAATTGATTGTTGAAATTGAAATCGTGTAATAAAACAAATAAAATTATCATTATTTGCCATAATGCTAAACATATGACCTAGATTATCATTTTTCATTATTTTATAGGTCATTCTGTATACCTCGTGTTATATTGATCAGTGTAAACTTGTAATAATGTTCAGTCGTCGATTGTTATAACGCTCGGTATTGCTTTGTCTGATGTTGTAACGCTTAAACGATTATCTACACTAGATCCCTCTCAGTGTCTATTCTACAGGACTTCAACACAACTCAGATCAAGAACACGTAATCAGCCTGACCAGAATGTAATATATTTCCACATCCAAAACCGACACAATCCACAACAATGAACAATCAATAATAGGATGTATATAAGAGTGAGTGTGTCACAATAATAAGGGTAAGGGAATATATAACTTATCTGACACCTGTCAGACTGTCTACATGTCTGAGTAAGCAGACAACCAATCATGATCGTTCTCGTCCACACAACACCCCCCTCACGAAGTTTGATCGTATGACTTCGCTTTCGGGTCTATTTGAAAAAATCTTTTTTGTTTTCGTTCCCGTGATGATTTTCGACAGGCTTCTGATTTCAGTTCATTTTTTTCCATTTCAACTTGTGGTGGTGGTGGTGGGATATTAAAAGTATCACATGATACTTCGATTGGTAAAGATTTGACTTTAGGTGACTCATAAACATTTCTTCTGTCTCTCAGTTGATTGATATGTCTGATAATTAGTGTATTTTCAACCATAACTTCATACAATACTGTCCCACGTCTTTTTTTAATACATCCAAATATCCATTTCGGCTTGCCAGGCCGGAAATCACGTGCATAAACTAAGTCACCTAGTTTGAATTCTCGAATCTTCAAATAATTCCCTTCCTTATTTTTTTGTAGTCCACACATTGTCTTTCGGACTCAAAACATTCAAGAATGTTCTAATTGGTCGGCCAAACATTATTTCGGCTGGTGATTTCCCGTCTTGACAGTTTGAACTCGGTGTGATTCTATAAGAAATTAGGAACTGTTTCAGAGCCTCTTCTACATTATCTTCTCTTCCCATCTTTAAGAGAGCTCGCTTCAAAATATCAACAAATTTTTCTGCTTGCCCATTTGACTGAGGGTGATACGGTGGAGTTCTAATGTGTTCAATTCCATTTTGTTTACAGAACTCCGCAAACTCGGACGACGTGAACTGCGTCCCGTTATCTGAAACCAAAACATTAGGTATCCCAAACCTACCAAATAGTTGTCTGAGATGTAACAGTGTTTCAGACGTAGACGGTCTTCGCACAACATAAATTTCAGGCCATTTTGAGTATGAATCTACTACCACCAAAAAATATTGTCCATTTATTGGTCCAGCATAATCGACGTGTAGTCGAACCCAAGGCTTTTTCGTTTCTGGCCATGGCTGGGATTCTACTTTCGGTGGATCTTTTGCATCTTCGGCAAATCGACGTCATCTCAATACGTGTTCTTCCACAGCCTTATCCATGAATGGACAATAGACATAACTACGCATAACTGCTTTCATTCTGTTCATTCCCGGATGACCAATGTGAAACTGTCTAAGCACAAAAAACTGAAGAGATTTAGTGATAACAACACGATCGCCGAACATCAAACAATTATCATAAATCGATATAGACTCACGTCTCAGAAAAAATTGGTGAAATTCCCGATTAGCCTTATCCTCTTTCCAACCATTTAAAACAGCTCCTTTTATTCTTTTAAGTAGAGGATCACTAGCCGTAGCTTCTTTAACCGCTTCTGCCGTTACTGGTAGGATTCCAATAGCATCACAGAACACTCGTTTTATTTCCGGTTCGATTGATATAGAAGCAACCACGCTATCTTCCTCTAACTTGCGGTTACTAGCAATTAACCTTGACAACCCATCTGCATGACCCATACAAGCTGACGGCTTGTACAGTAATTCGAAGTCATATCCTAGCAACATGGTAGCCCACCTAGTCAGCCGATTTGCAGCGTGGATGGGTATTCCTTTCTTAGAGCCAAATATAGCCAGCAACGGTCTATAATCAGTTTGCAATGTAAATTTCCTACCGTATAGCATCTTGTGGAACTTCCTGACCGCAAACACTAGGGCTAAAGCCTTCTTCTCGATTTGACCATAATTCTTTTCAGCCGCAGTAAGAGTGCGTGAAGCATCAAAAATAGCTTTTTGTGACCCATTAAGAAATTTATGAAGAATCACCGCTCCAATGCCATAATCAGATGCGTCTGCCGCTACTACTAACTCAAGTTTTGGGTCATAATGAGTAAGCAATAAATCAGAAGCCAAGATTTGTTTCACTTTTTCAAAGGACACTTGACATTCCTCATTCCAGTTCCATTTGGTATTCTTAGTTAATAGTGCATTCATTGGAGCACGCAGGGCATGCATATTTGGCACAAAATGGCTATAATAGTTAATCATTCCCAAAAATGACTGAAGCATTTTAACATTAGATGGAGCTGGCATATTCACAATGGCATGTACTTTTTCAGGATCAGGTCTACGTGGGCAACACCATTAGTGGTTGTAAGGAAATCTGATGGTAAAATACGTGTATGTGGAGACTTCTCCACTGGACTAAACAAAGCACTACAGGACCATTTATACCCCTTACCCATCCCAGAGGATTTGTTTACTAAATTGAATGGGTGCTCCATATTTTCGAAGATTGATTTTTCAGACGGATATCTCCAAGTGGAGGTCGAAGAAGACTGTAGATTTTTGCTGGCAGTAAACACACATCGAGGATTGTTCCAATACAATAGACTGCCTTTTGGTATAAAATGTGCCCCGGCAATTTTCCAGCAAGTTATGGACACTATGTTAAACGATATTCCGTTTGCCATGGCATATATGGATGATATTATTATTGCCAGTAGAAGTGAAAAAGAACACTATGATCATTTACTAGAAGTCTTTGCTCGTATTAGAGAGTATGGTTTTCGTATAAAAGTAGAAAAGTGTTCATTTTTTTATGTTAAGTATTCGATATTTTGGGAACAATTATCGATTCTCAGGGACGTAGACCTGATCCTGAAAAAGTACATGCCATTGTGAATATGCCAGCTGCATCTAATGTTAAAATGCTTCAGTCATTTTTGGGAATGATTAACTATTATAGCCATTTTGTGCCAAATATGCATGCCCTGCGTGCTCCAATGAATGCACTATTAACTAAGAATACCAAATGGAACTGGAATGAGGAATGTCAAGTGTCCTTTGAAAAAGTGAAACAAATCTTGGCTTCTGATTTATTGCTTACTCATTATGACCCAAAACTTGAGTTAGTAGTAGCGGCAGACGCATCTGATTATGGCATTGGAGCGGTGATTCTTCATAAATTTCCTAATGGGTCACAAAAAGCTATTTTTGATGCTTCACGCACTCTTACTGCGGCTGAAAAGAATTATGGTCAAATCGAGAAGAAGGCTTTAGCCCTAGTGTTTGCGGTCAGGAAGTTCCACAAGATGCTATACGGTAGGAAATTTACATTGCAAACTGATTATAGACCGTTGCTGGCTATATTTGGCTCTAAGAAAGGAATACCCATCCACGCTGCAAATCGGCTGACTAGGTGGGCTACCATGTTGCTAGGATATGACTTCGAATTACTGTACAAGCCGTCAGCTTGTATGGGTCATGCAGATGGGTTGTCAAGGTTAATTGCTAGTAACCGCAAGTTAGAGGAAGATAGCGTGGTTGCTTCTATATCAATTGAACCGGAAATAAAACGAGTGTTCTGTGATGCTATTGGAATCCTACCAGTAACGGCAGAAGCGGTTAAAGAAGCTACGGCTAGTGATCCTCTACTTAAAAGAATAAAAGGAGCTGTTTTAAATGGTTGGAAAGAGGATAAGGCTAATCGGGAATTTCACCAATTTTTTCTGAGACGTGAGTCTATATCGATTTATGATAATTGTTTGATGTTCGGCGATCGTGTTGTTATCACTAAATCTCTTCAGTTTTTTGTGCTTAGACAGTTTCACATTGGTCATCCGGGAATGAACAGAATGAAAGCAGTTATGCGTAGTTATGTCTATTGTCCATTCATGGATAAGGCTGTGGAAGAACACGTATTGAGATGTCGTCGATTTGCCGAAGATGCAAAAGATCCACCGAAAGTAGAATCCCAGCCATGGCCAGAAACGAAAAAGCCTTGGGTTCGACTACACGTCGATTATGCTGGACCAATAAATGGACAATATTTTTGGTGGTAGTAGATTCATACTCAAAATGGCCTGAAATTTATGTTGTGCGAAGACCGTCTACGTCTGAAACACTGTTACATCTCAGACAACTATTTGGTAGGTTTGGGATACCTAATGTTTTGGTTTCAGATAACGGGACGCAGTTCACGTCGTCCGAGTTTGCGGAGTTCTGTAAACAAAATGGAATTGAACACATTAGAACTCCACCGTATCACCCTCAGTCAAATGGGCAAGCAGAAAAATTTGTTGATATTTTGAAGCGAGCTCTCTTAAAGATGGGAAGAGAAGATAATGTAGAAGAGGCTCTGCAACAGTTCCTAATTTCTTATAGAATCACACCGAGTTCAAACTGTCAAGACGGGAAATCACCAGCCGAAATAATGTTTGGCCGACCAATTAGAACATTCTTGAATGTTTTTAGTCCGAAAGACAATGTGTGGACTACAAAAAAATAAGGAAGGGAATTATTTGAAGATTCGAGAATTCAAACTAGGTGACTTAGTTTATGCACGTGATTTCCGGCCTGGCAAGCCGAAATGGATATTTGGATGTATTAAAAAAAGACGTGGGACAGTATTGTATGAAGTTATGGTTGAAAATACACTAATTATCAGACATATCAATCAACTGAGAGACAGAAGAAATGTTTATGAGTCACCTAAAGTCAAATCTTTACCAATCGAAGTATCATGTGATACTCTTAATATCCCACCACCACCACCACCACAAGTTGAAATGGAAAAAAATGAACTGAAATCAGAAGCCTGTCGAAAATCATCACGGGAACGAAAACAAAAAAGATTTTTTCAAATAGACCCGAAAGCGAAGTCATACGATCAAACTTCGTGAGGGGGGTGTTGTGTGGACGAGAACGATCATGATTGGTTGTCTGCTTACTCAGACATGTAGACAGTCTGACAGGTGTCAGATAAGTTATATATTCCCTTACCCTTATTATTGTGACACACTCACTCTTATATACATCCTATTATTGATTGTTCATTGTTGTGGATTGTGTCGGTTTTGGGTGCAAAATATATTACATTCTGGTCAGGCTGATTACGTGTTCTTGATCTGAGTTGTGTTGAAGTCCTGTAGAATAGACACTGAGAGGGATCTAGTGTAGATAATCGTTTAAGCGTTACAACATCAGACAAAGTAATACCGAGCGTTATAACAATACGATCCATACAACTGATAATTCAAGTTTCCGAACTTAAAATCTAGATGTTTCGAGTCTATTTATTGTTTGAAAACTAATTCCCCTAAGTGTAGTTTTGCCAAAGAAATATCAGTATTGCTTGTCTTTGTAAACGGGTTCGTAATCCCAATCTGTTGTGACTTAGTGATTGACTGATATAGTGATGTGCTACTTATGTTTACATAAGTAGTATGTAACAGCAGTTCGAAATAGAATGCCTGGCAACATGTGATTAAGGTCGTGTGGAACAAAACGGGACGGAGAATGATTGTTGTGGCAATCAAGGAACAATGAAGTTTGTGACAATTGATAGACATTTCGCAAATAAAGTATGAAACGTATGGTCTTCTCATTTCCCCAAATAATTCCGTTATTATGTGTTAAAATGCATCTGGTTGTCCCCGCCTATGTTCTCGTTCATTACAATATTACTTTCTAGATTCTCCAATCATAATCATGACTACAATTTTCCACCCCGCGTATGCTATTCCGTTTATAACCTCGTGTCCTCAACGTTGATCAGTGATACATTTCGACCGAAACAACTAACCTGGAGTCAACGTAAACGCCACTCTTATCAGATCACCTATACGCACGCTTTCTAACTATAATCTTAAGTTCAAGAGGAGAATAAGGGAACCAAACTTATCTTATTGCATCACAATAACTCGGTATCTATCTCAAATACTCTTTACTCCATATACATAATTTATCCAACTACAAGGCACGCCGAATAAGAAATCACAGTTTGCGTACTATCCTCCCATAAGTATCAGATAGCGAAGCAAACAGTACATAAATAACTAGCAATATTTGAGGAAATGTAAAACGTACAACCGTAATTAACAGGTCATCTAGAATCTTACAATACGGAGAATACAGAAGCTCGGTAATACAGTTATGTACCAACTATACAATAGAAATATAAATAACTGTTAGTCAGTCCCAAAAGTTGTTTTCTTCATTCTCGCACCGCCAAAAAACCACAAAGGGAACTAAGGAACTTTTATGCAACAAAATAAGCTTATTGTTATAACGCTCGGTGTTAATTTGTCTAATGTCATAACGCTTAAACGATTATCTACACTAGATCCCTCTCAGTGTCTATTCTACAGGACTTCAACACAACTCAGATCAAGAACACGTAATCAGCCTGACCAGAATGTAATATATTTCCACATCCAAAACCGACACAATCCACAACAATGAACAATCAATAATAGGATGTATATAAGAGTGAGTGTGTCACAATAATAAGGGTAAGGGAATATATAACTTATCTGACACCTGTCAGACTGTCTACATGTCTGAGTAAGCAGACAACCAATCATGATCATTCTCGCCAACACATCACTTATTCGATCCACATCATGTGTAACTTTATTCAGTATATTCTGTTTTTGTAATTGATGATATCTGTAAACAATGCATTATGATGATATAAATCTCCATACTTAAAAAATCTCATTTATCAGCTTATTTGACAACAGTTAGAATTTTTGTGTAATCATTCGATATCTCTACTTATTGAGCATATGTTAGGGTATCTTTCCAATCATAGATTGATGCTGTTCACGTTCTATTCACATAGCCACAATGTAGTATACATTGTTTTACATGTATATTCAAGACTCTGGTGAAGTACTACAAGTTCGCTCTCCATCTGTCACTTCAAAAAGCTTGTTTTATGTGCGTTTATCCGGGGACCCTGTGGCATCTTCGTCTGGTCTTGCTGGCGTTGGTGTCGCACTAAGCGCAAGAGCTGAGGCAACACTAGTCGACTGGATCCCCATTAACAGTCGGTTATGTGCTGTTAGATTAGAAAGTTCCATCAAAGTGAGAAGAAATCGGCGTGAGAAACGATGTCTTTTCGTCATCTCCGCCTATGCCCCGACAGATTGCAGCCCGGATGCAATCAAGGACGAGTTCTACCATCAGCTAACTGTTCTTCTCCAGAAAGTGCGTTCGACAGATATTGTAGTACTAGCTGGAGACTTGAATGCTCAGGTCGGGCGTCTAGGTACAGAAGAGAGTCGTTTAGGTGGCCGATGGGGACTCGTTGGTCGCAGGACAGATAACGGGGAACGTCTACTGCAACTATGCACAGACCACAACCTGTTTCTGGCTAGCACTAACTTTCGGCACAGTCATCGCCGATGTGCCACCTGGCGTCTCCCTTCTACATCTCAAGCCTGGACTCAGATTGATCACATCGCGATCAGCTACCGCTGGCGCGGTTGTGTACAAGACTGCCGCTCTTTTTGGAGTACCTATCTGGAATCTGATCATGCTTTGGTCTGCGCCAATCTTACCTTACTTTTCAGTGGACAACGAAGTGACCGCCACCAAAGGATTGATGTTAGCAAGCTGGCTGCAACTTCTGTTGCTAGTAAGTACCGAACCGAGCTAGCTTCTAGGCTAGCTACCATTCCACCGAAAAGTATAGATGAGCATTGGTTGCAATTGCATGACGCCATGAAAATGGCGGGTACAGTTTGTTGTGGGTTTGCGAAACGTCCCGCTTACAAGCACTGGGTTTCTTCTGGTTCCTTACAACTGATTGAAGCCCGTCGGTCTACTCCGGGTGACCGTGAGTTTGACCACAAACGAAGGATGTTACGTAATGAAATCGGGCAAAGCTTGCGTAAGGACCGAGACGCCTGGTGGTCGGAGCGTGCCAGTGAGTTGGAAGCAGCAGCTGCATCTGGTAATTACCGGAAGCTCTTCCAACTCATCCGAGCCACTGGCAGCAAGAAGTTTGGTGTGAGCGAAACAATCTGCGAGGATGACGGAACGCCAATCACTAACATCCATCGACGTCTTGGACGATGGGCAGAATTCTTTGAAGGGCAGTTCAACTGGCCTGCTGCTCCGGCAACATCGGTCAGACTGTCCTGCCCTCCATGGCCGGTGACGACTGATCCACCAAATGAGGCGGAAGTCCGCAAGGAACTCCAACTCTTGAAACGTTACAAATCACCGGGCCCAGACGACTTACCTCCGGCTCTTTTTAAAGATGGTGGTGACTTTTTGACTAAGGGACTGACGACGTTGTTTACAAAGATCTGGGAACTAGAGAGTGTACCAACGTCATGGAATGAGTCGATAGTTGTCCCTATCTTTAAAAAGGGTTCACGTTGTTCCTGTAACAACTATCGGGGGATAAGTCTAATTCCGATTGCGTCCAAGCTATTGTCTTCCGTCATACTCCATAGGTTGTTCAGGACCCGAGAAGGATTGACTCGCGAGGAGCAGGCTGGGTTTCGTTCTGGTCGAGGATGTATTGATCATATCTTCACCCTCCGCCAAGTGTTAGAACACCGCCATACTTATCAAAGGCCAACAATCGTAGTGTTTCTTGATATCAGGGCCGCCTTCGATTCGTTGGACAGAACTGTTCTCTGGGATTGTCTATTGAAGAAGGGTTTTACATGTCACATAAGGATGAGATGTTTAATGTTAAATTCATTCAAATAATTTGTCTTTTGTTAGCTATCTTTTACGAATTACATATGTAAGATATCTTTAACACTGAATAGCGAGTTATATATATATATAATTTTTACCAGCAGTTTATCTTTATTATACTGTAATTGTTTTACATCAATATATTTCAAAACTTATCCACTCTATTGAAGATTAAGTATCTTCGTGAAAGATATGCAAACTTGGATATTGAAGTGGATGGTGGTGTCACCCTGAAGAACGTTCGAGATTGCGTCGAAGTAAGTCTTATATATATTTCTTGTACCGTGAATTTCTACTTGGGGAGATTGCTAGTTTTGTTGACTTATATTATGTTGAGTTGTTATATAAAAAGAAACTGAATATACTTTCACGTACATTTCCATATTACCACCTGCGGCCTTAAGATCAGAATTATCCCATGATAACCAAAACCCAAGTAGTTGGAGAAAGTTTTGAATAAGAAATTTAGTGAAAACGAGATGGCAGCATTAACAGTAAAAAAGGAAGTGCACTATATCGAGTAAAAGCAAGTTGGCGATAAATTGTAAGTCCAACTCACTGAAATCATTTAAGAGATCTTGAAAACTAAGTTGCAATCTGATAAGTTTTGGGATTTGAACGCTTATTTCGTTTCTCAAGCTATTCTTGAGACCCCCAAGCTAGAACTATACAGCAACCTGAACACGAGAGAGAAGGCGCAAAGTATGCGAAAAAGTATTTTACTCCAAGGTTCATTTTTGTATAGAAAAACACGGGTATTTATAGATGTTAACATTTGTTAAATCAACATCATAATTTGGCCAATCCGCTAAAAGATATATTATGCTACTGACCAATAGTAGCATGCCACGTTGGTATTCTAGAAAGCTCCATCATGCTCTGATTGGCCAGAACTCTTCGGCTCCTTCAGGGCTTCCGGAGGCTTCGTTGCAGTTCTCGGAAAGCCCACTCAACACATTGCATTCAAATTCGTTTGATCAGTTTTAGTTTAGGTTTCATTCAAGTGTCTAAAAAGATTTATGCAGAGATTTATGTTGATTACAAATCGTGCATCCGATCAAAATCATATTTCTTAATTTGTGAAACTAGCTTTGGATGCTACTTACCTAACCTATGTGGAAATCTCATTTTGAATTTCATAAAAAACTGATACTGCAGCTGTAATCATTAAGCTAAATTAACGTTCCATATAATATGAATTGGATGAAAGAATACTGGTCCAACTAATGCCGTCTCAAACTGGTAGAAATAATTTTTATTGTATATGTATAACAGCATTTCAATTTAATTTATACATCGTCTCATTCTTTTCTTTTCCCAGGCTGGAGCGAATATGATTGTTTCTGGCACCGAAATAACAAGTCATGAAAATCCTGCTCATATTATTAAATTGATGAGATCTAATGCTGGTCAACTTTTTAATTCACCACTCATAGATTAGTAAAACATGAATGATCATTTTTTCGTACTTTTCATCATCACCATGTGCTATTCCTTGATGACCTTTTTAAAATACATTTGATTTAAATTACTATTTGGAAATCTGTCAACCATCACCAAGGTCAAAATTTTCAATACAAATGTCAAGGCAAGAAAACAATTGAAATTGTTAAAAATAAACAAAGTTTAAATACACCTTCACTAGTTGATTGTCTAATCATATTCTGAAGATGGTTTAGTATTCTGTGTAAATTTGAGTTTGTTAGTGTAAATCTGTCCAAAGTGCAACAACATTCACCTGACATGTGTACATGATTTGTTTCATAATTCAATGATTATATTGCGAAGATCATGTTCATCATTCTTGTAATTAGAAATTGTATGTAGTCAGGAATAAACTGAGCTTGTAACACTAAGCGTTGATTGATAAATAGATATTAATCTGTATATACATTTCTATCCCAGTCGAAAGCAGTAAAAAAAACCTATTATATTGAATAACCATACAGTTGAATGTGATTTAATTATATCCCTTGCCACAATGATACGTAGAATTTGTAGTCCCGAGTGTTGGGAAGACCCAGAAAAATTCACGAAAAATACCCAAAGGGGCTCTGGAAACGCTAGGAAACATCTTATGCAGTCAGTATTGAGTAGAAGTTTCTCAGAATTATCTAGAAAGTTGAGTCACATTTCTGATTGGATGATTATCTATCCTGTTATGTTTGGTAGGGTTCCAGAGCCCAAGGCCATCTGAAATGCTATCAATACCATCGATTTCCTGCACATAAACTTTGATGTAAACCGTTCTTTCCGTGTAACGCTTTTTTCTCTCATGTTCAAGCTAGGATGGGCTTATTAGAAGAGGTTAGAAAATCTATTCAAACGTTAGATTTGTCAGTGGAGACGGAGAAATCTACAACTAGGAGTCTATATGGAGTGTCAAGAGAAAGAACCATGGAAGACCTTGTGCAGAAAATGTACATGTCCCAGCAAAACCCAGCATCTGATGCACTGCAAGTAACACATATAGATTCTGACATTAATGTCATCCATGAATCTAACTTTGATAATGTAACAGGTGTTAATTCCGAATCATGGTTCAAGAAATATGAAGATCTGTTCCAAATTGATCTCTGCAGACTGGATGATGCTTTAAAGGTCAAAATACATTTAAGAAGACTTGTAACGACAGAATACGAACGCTCTGGTAACTTTGTTCCTCCGAAGAACTAATAGGACTTTGTGATGAAACGATTAAAACCCTGTCCCAAATCTTTGGAAAACAGTCATTTCTGCTTAACATCCGTTACCAATGTGTGAATATAACTAAAGAACCAGGACATGACGGAATGTGACATTCAGGAATCGTGAACCGAAAATGAGATGTTCAAGTTTTTCTCCATGACAGAAGATCAGTTCAAATGCCTTTTTTTGTCTGCAGCCCGCATTCACGCGAGATGTTGATATCTAGACAAGAATCCTAAGCAAACTTGGATATGGTCCTAGCATTACCCTACAGTAAGTAACTACCGAATGCCAAAGGGTAGTGAATTGGAAGCATGATACCTCGATAGTAGAGAATGGTAACAGGTTCCTTCACGTCAGTGCAGTCGAGAAAAGTTTTACAAGGTTCTGGCACGCAGAATTATCGTAATGACAGAGACAAACCATCATCCCCATGCTGGTTATGTGGCAGTTGGCATTTCAAAAAGTTCTGTCCGTTTAAAAATCATCGTTGTACTACGTGTTTCACAAAAGGGCACAAAGAAAGTCATTGCAAAACGCGGGAACGGCGTCAACCAAAAGTGTACTCTAAAATATTAAAGCCACGAACAGCTAAAGTAATGGTAGCTCTTAACAAAGCCGGCTCCCATAACCGTAGAAAGTATGTTTCTCTCAAGATTAATAGGTATGATGCCTGCTTACAGTTGGATACAACCTCCGATATAACACTTGTGGGCAGATGAACGTGAGAGAAAAGTGGGAGACGGCGAATATATTCAACTCGCCAATCAGCACATAGTGCATCCGGGAGAATGCTAAACATTTCTGGTGAGATTCATTGTGAAGTCACAGTCAAAGAGTTTACGGAGAAGGCAGTACTATTTTTGACAGGACGTCCATCACTCGAATTATTGGGGCTTGATTAGATAGAAAGGTTGGATTTAACAGACCGTCCATAAACTCGATATGCAACAACGTCAGTACGTCGAAATTCTAGGAGAAAAACTCGGTGGAAGCATTATTAAAACGACATAAAACGGTATTTAGTGAAGGTCTTGGAGAATGTACTAAATTTAAAGCCGCTCTTACCCTTCAACAGGGATCAAAGCCAGTGTTTTGACCTAATAGACCCGTACCATATGCTGCCCTCCCAGTGGTTGAACAAGAGCTAGAATGACTTCATAAAGTGGGTGTCATTAAACCGGTAAACTTCTCAGAATGGGCTGCACCGATAGTGGTAGTAAAGAGGACTAATGATAAAGTCCGTTTATATGCTGATTACTTAACCGGGCTAAATAAAGCCTTAGAAACTCATCAGTATCCATTACCCCTACCTGAAGATCTTTATGCTAAAAAGAATGAAGGTAATCTCTTTGCAAAGTTGGATTTATCGGAAGCATATTTACAAATTCCTGTTGTTGATGAGTGTAAAGATCTGCTCGCCATAAGCACACACAAGGTCCTATTCCGGTATAATTGACCATGTTACAGGATGTTCCAGGTGCTGCAGCTCATCCGGATGACACCATAATTATGTGAGTAGATAGAATGAACTTAGAAAAGGAGCTCGACCTGGCGCTATCGACAATAGCGGAATGTGGACTCCGGATCGGTTAAGAAAAATGCAACTTTTGCATGCAAAAGGTGCGCTACATTGGGTTTACAATCGATAAAGATAGCAGACAGCCAAATCCGGAGGATACCCAGGTAGTGAAAACTATGCGTAGAACGACGAATGTCCCCACACTAATCCTTCCTGTGAATAGCTAGCCATTATGGAGCTTTTCTATTAAACCTTCGTTGTCTGCGTACCCCGTTAAATAACCTTCTGGCGAAGAATATAAAATGGGATCGCTTACCCATTACAACCCATCCTTACCTATTATAATAGCATCAGACGCTTCAAATTACGGCATTGTATTTATTTATTTATTTGAACACATAAATATTGGTACAGAGGGGCACCAAATATATATGCGCCACACAAAACAATGATAATTTGAAGAGAAGGAGGAAGGAGAAAAAAAAAAGGTAATGAACGTGGGGAATTATAAAAAAAAAGGAAGAGAGAGAGAGAACAATGGTGGGGGAAACGGAAAGGTACACTCAGAAGAGATCTTTCAGTTAAGGAAGATATAAACACTTTTTATGAAGAAAGTAAAAGAAGGTTACAGCAGGATCGCCACTGGCTTCTATTCTGAGCCATATCTGATAACGTCTCTAGCCACTGCGTTACACCATCTCTCGGACCCCAACCAGGGAGTCGTGAAGGACCAACAGAAGCTAGCCCTTTGCAGCTTTCTTTCATACCACGACACCATGTCATATACTGACCACCTCTCCGCTTTTTCCAACCAGTCCCAGAGTCGGCAAATAATGCACGACGAGGAATTCTCTGGGACGACATTCGTAGAACATGTCCAAGCCACCGAAGTCGGTGTTTCAAGATGGTGACACCAATTTCATTATCGTCTCTGTGACCGAACACTCGATGCCGAACCTCTGCATTACTGACATGGTGTTGCCACTGGATGCCAGCAATCCTTCGGAGACAACGATGATCGAACACAGAGAGTCGTCTAACATCCTCAGCTCGGAGAGGCCAGGTTTCACAAGCATAGAGCAAAACTGCTCTCACCGTCGCGTTGTAGATCCGACCTTTTACAGCCAGACTAACATCACGAAGGAGCCAAAGATGGCCCAGATTGGCATAAGTCGCTCTGGCTTTCACTATACGTGCATTGATCTCATCACTCACGCCACCACCAGCACTTATGCAGCTACCTAGATACACGAACTTCTCGACTACTTCAATCTGCTCACCATCCAGAGTGAGTACAAGATTAGAATCCTGCCAGTCTTGTAGAAGTACTTTGCACTTCGAAGGTGCAAAGCACATACCATACCTACGGACACTGATTGCCAACTGATTAAGTGCGGATTGCATAGCTTGGGCATTCTCGCACAGTAAGACAATATCATCCGCATACTCAAGGTCGAAAAGTCTTTCTCCAGGCAACAGGTCCACACCACCATTACTTACATCCGTCAGAGCTGTTTCCAGAATGTCATCGATGGCAAAGTTGAAGAGGAGTGGTTAGATTGGGCAACCCTGCCTAACCCCACTGCTCGAATGGAATAGTGGAGAAAGGTGGTTGTATGCCCTCACTCTGCCTGAGGTGTTTGTGTATAGGGCTTTTAGGATGTTAATAAACTTCTCAGGCACACCCTTCTTCAATAGACAATCCCAGAGAACAGTTCTGTCCAACGAATCGAAGGCAGCCCTGATATCAAGAAACACTACGATTGTTGGCCTTTGATAAGTATGGCGGTGTTCTAACACTTGGCGGAGGGTGAAGATATGATCAATACATCCTCGACCAGAACGAAACCCAGCCTGCTCCTCGCGAGTCAATCCTTCTCGGGTCCTGAACAACCTATGGAGTATGACGGAAGACAATAGCTTGGACGCAATCGGAAGTAGACTTATCCCCCGATAGTTGTTACAGGAACAACGTGAACCCTTTTTAAAGATAGGGACAACTATCGACTCATTCCCTGACGTTGGTATACTCTCTAGTTCCCAGATCTTTGTAAACAACGTCGTCAGTCCCTTAGTCAGAAAGTCACCGCCATCTTTAAAAAGAGCCGGAGGTAAGTCATCTGGGCCCGGTGATTTGTAACGTTTCAAGAGTTGGAGTTCCTTGCGGACTTCCGCATCATTTGGTGGATCAGTCGTCACCGGCCATGGAGGGCAGGACAGTCTGACCGATGTTGCCGGAGCAGCAGGCCAGTTGAACTGCCCTTCAAAGAATTCTGCCCATCGTCCAAGACGTCGATGGATGTTAGTGATTGGCGTTCCGTCATCCTCGCAGATTGTTTCGCTCACACCAAACTTCTTGCTGCCAGTGGCTCGGATGAGTTGGAAGAGCTTCCGGTAATTACCAGATGCAGCTGCTGCTTCCAACTCACTGGCACGCTCCGACCACCAGGCTTCTCGGTCCTTACGCAAGCTTTGCCCGATTTCATTACGTAACATCCTTCGTCTGTGGTCAAACTCACGGTCACCCGGAGTAGACCGACGGGCTTCAATCAGTTGTAAGGAACCAGAAGAAACCCAGTGCTTGTAAGCGGGACGTTTCGCAAACCCACAACAAACTGTACCCGCCATTTTCATGGCGTCATGCTATTGCAACCAATGCTCATCTATACTTTTCGGTGGAATGGTAGCTAGCCTAGAGGCTAGCTCGGTTCGGTACTTACTAGCAACAGAAGTT